CAATGTTTGAATTTTATTTAAATGTTAACTTTTATATCATTTTATTTCAATCTCTTATGCGAAAATCAAGAAATTTTCAAGTAAACTCTTTGATGAATTCACATTCATCAAAGAGTTTACTGAAAATTTCTATATCTGAAAGAGAGAGAATATTAATAGTTTAGAACGAATATATAATTTTACTGCTAAATGAAACGAGAGAGAAAAATTGGTATCAATTTCAGAAATGACCATTTTAAGACTATCTTTTTTTTATGGAAGAAAAAGATTTGAGACGAAAATTTTTTTCGAATATAATAAAAAAAGGAGACTCATAAAAAAGTTCATTTTATTGTGCGATGAGAAAAGAGAGAAAGAGAGGACTGCCATTTAAATATAGACCGTCAGGGATGGAAATATACATTTATGGAAATATTTTAGAAGAAGATAAAGAAGAAGATTGGGAAAAATGCGTTTTTCGTTTATTTCTACAGGCAACTAACTAAGATAATAATTCAGAGAACAGGTTGTTTCAACGCTCGCCACCTGCTTCTCCATCAGTAGCATAACAGCAACGACGACGACGACGATGAGGACGAGGACGGGACTATATAGGGATATATTCTAACTCCTAACGCACCAAAGCAAGCACCTCCAAATTAATTAAATTCCTCCCTCCAAACTAACCCAAGTATCATCATCCTTATGGCTGTACGGTGTCACAGGTGCAATAGTCAGTAACCCCAGCTAGCAGGTATCATTAACCTTTCTTCTCCTTCCGAGCTTATAATAGATAGATAATCCCTCACATATCTTTTTGTCATTTCTCCAAAAACGGTATGATAAATTTCTCCTTTTCAACGTACAACATCACAAAGGCCAATAATTTATTACTTTCAGAGTGAGAGGAAAGAATGTTTATTATTAACATTTTTAATGTTGAATTTCAAATAAGTTTATAGAAATGTGCATTAGGTTCCTAATTGTATTTACATAACTGTAGTTACATTAAGGAAGGCACATTTCTGTATACGAGGTGACGAAATTTACGAAAGGGCCTGTCCCGTTTAATTTTAAATATAAATTTTATTTTCAGATTTGTGGGAAAGTCAGTTAGGCGAAGCATAATTCAAGTAAAATAAGATTTTAGAAATTAGTTTTGATCTCTAAATTTAAATTAATCCTTCTTTAATGCATAAACCATGACATACAGTCGGCAACGTTTCTAAAAACGAAAAATAATCAGACGATATTTGTTATCACAGCTTCTTTTAATCATTTGTAGGTAACTATCCCGCACTGTTAGGTCGAAAGTATCAAATTGTAACGAATTGACACCAAAAATGTAGATCAAATAAAAAACTGAGTCAAATTTTTGGTATCAATTTGATACTTTTAAGAAAACTGTGGGCCTCTAAGAAAGAGTTCATTTTTCAAAGATTCGTGCACATCAAAATTTGACATAAATTTACTTGAAAAATAATTATTGCTCATTTTTTGTCTTTAAAAACGTTGTAAACTTCAGTTTCATCCGAATTATTTATTAAATTAGATCTGATTAATTTCAGAGAGTAAAGAAACAGTTTTAACCTCTGAGACTGAATTAATGAAAAGACGCTCTTACTAATATTTAAATTAGTAAAAAATTCTACAGTAATTTTCCAGTTAATTTTCACTGAAACCCGAGTAAAATTTTTTAAACCACTAAATTAAAGAATAAAATTTGACTAAAAATTAATAAAAATTATTACAAATTTAAATTAGAAGACGACTTTTCACTAATTCGGATGTAGAAGTCCCTGAAGTTCTCATTCTCACTAATATTTAAATTAGTAAAAAATTCTACTATAATTTTCAGGAAATTTTCACTAAAACCAAAGTAAAATTTTTTAAACGACTAAATAAAATAGTAAAATTTGACTAAAAATTAATAAACATTATTACAAATTTAAATTAGAAGGCGACTTTTCTCTTTTCTAATTCAGATGTAGAAGTCCCTGAAGTTAGCGTCGATGCTCAACGTCGAAAAATGTTATTTGGAATTTTTAGTGTCAAAAATGTCACTAATTTCACTTTCATACTAAATCTAATTGTTAAAACTTTAAAAATTTTAAATGAAAAGAAAATTCTAGTAAAAATAAAAATTTTTTACTAATAAAACAGTAAATTTGAACTAATTAGATTTAGAGTCTAACTAAAAGACCAAAGTCTAGAGTCTGATAAGATTTAGAGAGTAAATGTCACTTGAATTAGTGAAAAACTAATTATTTATACAAAAATACTAATTATACTCTTAGCAATCAAGCTAATTCAACTCTTTAAAGCTAAAATAGCGGAAATTGAGCGAAAAATTTACATTTGTTAGAAATTTTACTAATTTTTAGTCATTTTTCACTAATACTAAAAAAATTATTTCACTAACAAAAATTATAACTACTAAAATTAGATTTCTTTTCCTAAACACAAAATTGTAAAAAAATAATTACAAAAAAAGAAAATTTTTCAAATTTTCCGCAAAAATAAATCTTTCTCTCATTTTATAAACACAATGAACACAAATATATTTCTAAAAATAACTTTTCCGAGAACAAATGACTAGGTAAATTAAAAACTTTTGTTCACATGAATATTTAAAACTTCGAGAATAATAAAATAAGAAGGTTTCTATAGTCCAGTGTTTTTTTAAAACATTATCGACAAATTCAATACATTTCAAAAGTATAATAATAAATTCTCTAAAGCTAAATTTAAAGAAAAATTTTATTTTTTTAGAAGTTAAAAATGATTTAAAGCGTCTGTAAAAAGACAACCATTTTCTATTTAAAAATTAGTAAGAAGCGAATTATTAATAAAAAAAAATAATTATTAATAAAAAAAACTAATTGTTAGTAAGAAAATAGTAATTATTAGTAAAAAATTACTAATAATGAGTAAAAAATATGTCTAAATTATAAATTTTTAAACGAATAAATAAATAATTAGTTATTTTCAAAAAGTCAGCCAACATTCTACTAAAAATTAGTCATTTTTAACTATAATTCAGATTTAGAGATACAATTTATATTAATTTTGAAGATAATTTTTTAGCAATTTTTTCAACAATTTAAAAACTAATTCAGATATTTAAAACAAAAAATATGAAAGCAGTAAAAAAACAATCAAACTTCTCAAGTTCTAAACGTTCACATGAACAAACTTTTCTCTACTCTCCTTTTATATACAATTTGAAGCATTAGAAATAGAAAAACTTGCACAAGTTACATAAAACATGAAAATTATAATGATCATTATTTTACTTAATTGGTCAATAGTTAACTATATAAAACTTTTAAACAACATTATTCAAAGAAATATCCTATTTCATTAATTAGGAGCAATTACTTTAATTACGAGACAAATAAAAATGCAATTCAGATATAGTTTCAAATTGCGTGAAACACGCAAATTCTAATTATTAATAATAATTTTTAAACTATTTTATAGAAATACAATAAATAGCATATCCAAAACTAACGCTCTGTTAAATTAATATTCATTAATTTCACTAACATTAAATTATTCTTTGCACCAATTCGGTAAATGTTGATCAATTAATTTGATATTCATCAATACTCTATAATTTCATGTAATAAATTTAAGCCTCCTAAATTTAATATCATTAATTCAGTAGAACAAATTTTGCAAAATTAATTTAATAAAATAAATTTCCCAAAATGAATTTAACAAAATAAATTTCACAAAAGAAATATAATAAAATAAATTTCACAAAATAAATCTAATAGAATAAATTTAACAAAATAAATTTAATAAAATAAATTCGACAAAATAAATTTAATAAAATAAATTTAGTAAAATAAATTTAATAAAATAAATTTAGTAAAATAAATTTAGTAAAATAAATTTAACAAAATAAATTTAGTAAAATAAATTTAACAAAATAAATTTAATAAAATAAATTCCACAAAATAAATTTAATAAAATAAAGTCAACAAAGTAAATTGAATAAAATAAATCCAACAAAATAAATTTAACATAATTAATTAAATAATTCTATTTAATTAAACCACTAATTATGAAATTAATATTCTCCAATTGTCAATAATTAGCAAATCTCATTAAAAATACATCAAATTGCTTTGGTTTCAACTTCGCACAATATAAACATTTTCAAAACTTTAGAAATAGATTCTGATAAATTACACTGGCCAATAATAAATCACTCCAATAATATAAACGTAAACAAAACTCAAATCTTTCAACGAAAAGTATTCTCTAAATTATTTTCACAAAGAGTGCGCGCGAGAAAAAAAGTAAAAATACGCAATTTTCGTATTTTTTTTTATGTCAAATATCCAGATGGATTTTTTCAAAAGAGATAAATAAATATTCGTATATGTAAAGCGTATATTTTGAAAGAGAAGCGCGTCTAGATTTGAATGACCGGCCAACAGGATCGAACGTGCCGCCGCCGGTTGCGAAAATTCAAATCTCCAAAATATTGACAAAAAATTAAATTTTTCAAAACAATAAACAATTTCTACAGGTATAAAATTCAATGTTTGGATATAAAATTTTCCACATCGATAGTTATCCCCTTGACTTTTATCCCTCATCCTATAAACACCCATAATCCGCTATTCAAAATACACTTTTACCTGCCGAAACCGGTCTCGGGTTTTAACGAGAAATTTTTAACCATTCTATCAATAACAGATGATAATTTCACGGCATTAATTCACATTTTCTCAGAAATTTCCAACAGAGATTGACCTTTATTGCATAAATAAATAATTCAAGATTCTAGAAAAGTGTTTCCCTTGGCTTTGAAAACTTGTAAAATATTTGAAGCATTCAACCACCTGCTGGAGCGTCGACTATAGAGAGCGAGAGAGAGAGAGAGAGACTAAGAGAGTGAGAAAGATAAATTTTCCGTTCGTTTACACGGATAAGGATAAGAGAAGTATGAAAATCGAACGTGCAATGACGCATGTGAAGATGTTTTTTTTTTTATCTCAACTCACCTGTTAGGTGTAACAGCACAAGAATCACGACAGCAGCAGGATACCAAAATACTGCCATGATGTAAAAAAACGCACAACTTTTAAGTTTCTACTGCTATAATTTTCGAAAGATATTCGAAATGTCACTATGAAAAATCACTACACGCACGAAAGAAAAATTTGTTTTTTTTTATCTAAAAACAAAGTTATCTAAAAACTAGGTGTGACAGAACATTTGGTCTCTTTTAACTTCACTATACAAACTCTTGTGTGTATTATACGTCGTAACGTCACGCTGGCCGATTTTCAACTGTGGCGGGGAGAATGCCATTCCCGCTCCGATCAAACTTCGAGCTCATTCGTACTTGTTCGGATATGTTCGGTACGCTCGGTTCTCCAACAGAAATGAAGGCGCAACACATAGAATATACTTCTTTCAAAACCCGCAACTAAAGTGGTGAACCGCACCCGCACGTTTTTATTATTATTTTCCTTTTTTTTCCTTCCTTCTTTCTTTTCTCTCTTGACGAATTTAACATTAAAGAGTTTACTGTTAAAGTGTATACTAAAAGTTTCTGACACTTCTTTAAGCTTTGAGTGTTAATTGGAGGATCTGCTGAAAAATAGCCATGAGGAAAAGCGTCTTAAAGGATGAAAGGATTATGCACCGCGGAAATGGTAGCAGTTTTCCTTTTAAAATGTCCGTTAGGGTTTTACAGCTTGAAATTTTTGCTCCAATTAGCATTTTTGAATATGTAGGTCTGCATTTTCTTTTTGCCGAAAACTAGCCAAACTTTTATTTTTAATGGATTTTTTTTATTTTTATTTATTTAATTTCATTTAGATACCTATCTAAATTTTAATTTACTACTCTTTAAATTTGAATCAGTTAAAAATAACTGATTTAGAAGCACAAAGTCAGTCACTAATTCAAATAGTAATATTTCTACTGCCAATTATAGTTAAATAACTGATGTTTCAGAAAGTTTTTGTTGACTGATTCAATTAGTCAAGTTTAACTAATTTTTCAGTTATTTTTTACTGAAAATCAGTTATTTTTAACTGATTCAGAAGCAAAAAGGCAGTCACTGATTGTCAGTTAAAACCATGATTTTTAACTGATTCAGAGTATGTATTTAGTTTGTTTTACTAGATTTTCATTTGTTTATTTTTGATCTAGTTTTATCACTTATGAATTCTAAATTTTTTTTATTATTTACTTCTTTACCTATTTTTACTCTCTAAATTTGAATCAGTCAAAAATAACTGATTTAGAAGCGAAAAATTGGTCACTAATTCAAATAGTACTTTCTAAATCTGAATCAGTGAAATTGCATTGAAAATCAGTAAAATTTGACTGAGAATCAGTGACTCTATTCTCGCGATTTGAATCAGTGGAATTTGACTGAAAATCAGTTAAAAATAAATTCAATTTCAGTCATTTTCCACTGATTCGACAATTAAAAAACTACTGAAAATTTCAATAATTTTTAACTGATCTTCAGTGAAATTTCACTTATTCAAATCGCGAGAATAAACTCACTGATTCTCAGTCAAATTTCACTGATTTAGTTTTAGAGAGCAATATTTTTACTGATATTTAGATAAAAATAACTGATGATTCAGAAGATTTTTTAAAACTAATTCAATTATTCAATAAGTTTAACTAATATATTATCAGTTATTTTTTACTGAAAATCAATTATTTTTAACTGATTGCAAAACCAAAAAATCAGTCACTGATTGTGAGTTAAAACTATGATATTTAACTGATTCAAATTTAGAGAGTACTATAACCGCAATTACTCTCTAAATTTGAATTAGTAAAAATGTCTTGAAATTCAAATAAGTGACTGACTTTTAGCTTTTGAATTAGCAAATTTTACTAATAAATAGTGATTTCTAATAATTTATTAGTAAAATTTACTACTTAAAAAGCAAAAAGTCAGTCACTAATTCAAATTAGTAAACATTTTTACTGATTCAAATTTATAGAGTTGTTAATAATTAGTTAATAATACTCTCTAAAACTGAATCAGTGAAATTTGACTGATTTTCAGTGGATTTTTACTGATTCAGATATTTAGAGAGTAACCTTTTTCATAGTTAATACTATCATTTTTAACTGATTCAAATTTAGAGATTACTAACCAATTAGATAATAATAACTAATTATTAGTTAAATTTAGTTTCAGTTTAGGTCAAATAAATTAAAAATTTTCTTATTCAATTAGTGAAATTTTGAACTATTTTTATGGTTTGCTTATTTACCCTGTAAATTGAAATCAGTTAAAAATAACTGATTTAGAATAAAAAGTCAGTGACTAATTCAAATAGCAATAATCCTGCTAATCATTTAGTTAAAAATAACTGACTGTCAGTTAAAAATTGCTAATGTATTTTTTACTGAAAATCAGTCATTTTTTTCACTATTATGATACTTTTTATTGATTCAGAAGTAAAATGTCAGTCGCTCATTTAAATAGTAATATTTCTACTAATCATTTAGTTGAAATTAACTGATTTCAAAGCAAAAAATCACTTTCTAATTGAAATAGTAATATTTCTACTGACAATTAGTTAAAAATAACTGATGTTTCAGTAAATTTTTTTTGACTGATTCAATTAGACAAAATTTAACTAATTTTTCAGTTCATTTTAACTGATAATCAGACATTTTTACACTGACAATCAGTTATTTTTTATTGATTGCAGAATAGCAAAAATTCAGTCATTGATTGTCAGTTAAATTGTGATTTTGAATTAATTCAAATTTTGAGAGTAATAGTTAGTTATTTTTTACTAATTTAAACTTTGTTTATTTAATTTGCTCTTGCTGATAAAAATATTTAAAAAAACATAAAAATAATACCTATAAATTATGAAAATAAAAATATTTTTAACAAATTTTGAGCTTTTTATATATCATTCATTTTTTAAAATATTATAATTTTCCCCTGTCTTGAACACACTTGACATGCAAAACAGGCGAATTCACAAAATGAAATGCAGTCGAAATTATATTAACATTTGGGCGGAGGTATTCAATAAATTTTCGATATTGAGACAATAAACATTAATATGTTCCGCATATTTACACCAATCGAGGCAGCGATATATCTGCGATATTCTCTATTCACATCAACTAAATACAGACTGCATCGAAATTAATTCAAGAACAATACTTAATTATTTCCTCAACAAATGAAATTTTAATAAGTTATTGTTTTCTCTATATGCTTAAACGTGAATTTTCCCCAATTCGAGAGAAATAATTTCCAATAAACATTACTTAAGTAATATTAATTAAGTAATAATAAATTATTTATTATTACTTAATTAATAATAAATAAATTATTATTACTTAACTAATGTTTATTTGAGTTTTTATTTTCTGTTAAGTAATAATTTTACTTGATAAATAAATAAATTCATATGTATTGAATTTTTTTCAAAGAAGAACAATATCGTGCGTTTTACTTGTTCTTTTTTTTGCGGGATACTAGAATAAAATGTCCTATAAGCGTTTGCGCAGTCATTACTTATTAACCACTTTATCCCATCCCCTGAACTTCATACACAGTTCTTATTTATGGGGTGACGTAATTATCTCTTGTCACGCAATTTGTACTGCTTACATCTTCGCATAAAATGTTTGCAAAAATTATTTTTCAATTTCAAATATGTGGATTATCGATCTTTTAAAGCAAACTCGACGCATCTAATAGTAATTTTTTCTTCAAAAAGTAAATAAATGCCATTTCCCTCCCCCATCAAGAGTAAAATTTCTTATATTTTTATATAAAAAAATATATTTTATCCAATATTTTTTTTTGCTCATACTTTCTTTTTAAATTCCAACTATTATTTTTCCTTAATACTCCCACTAATCTATAATTATATAACAAAAAATCGATCATCTCATTTTTCTCTCAAAGCATTATAAAAATAGATGAGATTCCTCTAATTAACCGCAGAGCATTTATGAAATGTCAACTATTCAATTCCACAGATTTCTTAATAGATATATCAACAGATAAATCAAGAAGACAAGGTGAATTGAAATATTCATCAAAAGGGGGGAGCGCTTGAAGAGTGGTTTATGAGAGAATCCTATGATGGTATTTTGAATGACTTGAAATATTTTTCACATATTTTAATTTTTTTTTCTCCATTACTTTTTTTTTCTTCCATTATTTTTTTTTTCCTGCTCGACATCTTGCAGTGACAGAAACGATTAATAAGTGGATGACAAATGTGCGTCAATTCAAAAGGGATATAATATACATATATACATATATAGAAAATGAAGAGATGCCGACTCTTTGACTATAAAGAGAACAAAAGAAAAGTTAAAGAGAAATCCGTGACAAAATAAGAATGATGCTCGAGAGGAAGAGAGAGTGAGAGAGAGAGAGAAGTTTGTATCTACTTTTTTCCCTTGGGAGGGTCGTTATTAAACACTTAAATCTTTTCTCATTGCATAAAACAGGTTGCGCAGTTCAGTTTATGAGAAAATATAAATAAAAAAGACAAGAGAAAATGAGATGACATTACGCATTTTACTTTCGGAGAGGACTAAATCTTGGAGAACTATATACGAAAGCTTGGTTTATTAGATATTTAAATGCGATGATCATTTAAGAATAAAAGATGAATGTAAATAAAAAAAAACAATATAAATGTGGAACTAAATTTGAAATTGATTCAGTGTAATGATCAACAAGTTTAATTTAAATGTTCAATTGAACGAAACATTTTTTAGTAAAAATATTTTTATAAATTACTGATTGCAATAAAAGTCAAATTTTTTTGCATTGAAAAGAAAATTTTGTCTGGTTGTACATTTAAAAACTTTATAATTAATATTGTTGACTGTAATGCTCGCTGTAATGCAAAATTATTCTAATAAAAATTTAATTTGAAGAAGAAATAAATCCAACGTTTAGAACTTTAGAATCATTTTTATCAACTTTTCAGCTAATTTTCAAAAATAAAACCCTATCGTATAATTATATAAATTTTTTGTATTAATTCAAAGAAATCAGTATCTTACACTCGTTTTGTTTCATTTAAAACAAATTTTTCTCTCAAATCAAAAGAGTTTTTTTTTATTCAAAAGAACCGTTTTTTTAATTTTAATAAATTTTCTTTGAATCTAATAATTTATCTCTAATTTATCTAATAATTTATCATTCATAAAATTTAAGATGAACAAAATAAAAAAGTAAACGAAGTAAAAATTATTCTTTTAAATTTATTTATTTTCTTTAATTAAATTAGAAATAAAATAAAAAGAATATTAAAAAGAAGTATTACTCACTAAC